CCCTCCCTTTTTATAACATACGCTTAAAGGTACTCGCTTATTACCGATCAATCTATTTCAACCATAATAGGCTTGCTATCTCGATTGCTTTTATTTATCCGAGCTAACTACGATACCTAGGGAGGTTTCTCTCTAACCGATAGGTACTACGATGCCTTTAATTACTATACGAAGATACCGATATACCTTATACCTACGGACCTAATCGGGGAACGTACTAATTAATATAAAGACTTATAAACGATACCGATACGAAACGAATTAAACGGATATTAAATAAAATAGCTTAAGAAAATAGTTATAGCTATAAAAATAATTAAGATAATATCCGGAAACCCCTCCTATCGCCCTTACCAATATAAAGTTCGTAGGAAAGCCCTAAAAGCCTTAAGACTACGTATAAAGAAGGGGTCAAGGGTTACGGAAAGCCCGGTAGATACTACCAGACGAATATAGGAATAATTGAAAATAATCGGGCCTTGAATAAGATATATTACGTTAGTTTTATAAGATTAGGATTAGTTAAAGGGATCGGCAATAGCTATAGACGAAAAGGACGAGAATTACGTTACATTAGTTATTTTACGGGATTATTTCTTTCGTTTCTTACAGGAGCTATGCTTATTTTACCTAGCCGTTACAGTCTCTATTTCCTAACTATTAGTCTCTATTATTTCTTAGTAGCCATTAATGGAACTAACTTGCTCTTAATTAATTAGAATTAATTAAAAATAGGTCAATTAGGTTAGTTTATAAGTTATAGCTCCGCTAGCTTAATTATTATTAATCTTTCCTATTATTTTCTATCAATCGCTAATTAAATTAGCTTAGCTTATAGTTAGTAGCGATTAAATAGGTTCAGGATTAATTAGTTATAGTTAGGCACGGTTGCAGTTACCTACCCTACTACTTATTTATTTTAGTTATAATTAACTCTAATTATTAGGATCACTCTGTTTTCCTAACTTGTATTATTAACCTTTAATTAAACTGGCTAGCTTTTGATTAATTAGGGTTAATCAGGATTTAATTAATTAATAGTTAATTAGGTTTAATAGAAACGAGAGCTACCTTATCTATTATTAGGAGTTTAATTGCTCTTTAAAGAATAATTAAACTAAGGAGGCTATAGTAGTACAGTAGGACTAGGTTCCGTAGCCTTTTAGATATATATTTATATAGGTCTCCGTCACGTAGAGGTTGCGCCTCTTCGTTGCTTACCTCAGCAACAGGAGCTCATATATATTGAACAGGAGCAGCGTGGGCACGCTATAATGGAGGCAGGAAAAGGACTGCCTAATTATTAATAACTGGCCTAGTACCGATTAACCTAAATCATAGCTATAAATAGCTGTAATCGATTGATCGGCCAGCTGAAAACGGCAGCTAGAAAAGGAAGACTAGAATGGCAGGGTAATAAGGATAGCTAGAAAGGCATGGCAAGAAACGAGTAAATAGCTATAACTAGTAATAGCTATAGGTCTAACTCTAACTAATGAAAATATGAGTACGCGACCTATATAAATATACATCGAAAAGGCTACGTAGCTTAGATCTACCATACTACTACAGCCTCCCTAGTTTAATTAATCTGCAAGGAGTAATTAAACTCCTAATAGTAATAGATACGGTAGCTCTTGTTCCTATTAAACCTAATTAACCTAATCCCAATTAACCTTAACTAATTAAAAGCTAGCTAGTTAAATTAAAGGCTAACAGAATAAGTTAGGGAATAGGTTAACTAGGAATGATTATAATAGTAATAAGTAGATAGTGGGATAGGTAACTAACTACAGCCGTACCTAATCCTAAACCTAATTAATCCTGAACCTATTTAATCGCTACTAACTAGGAGCTAAGCTAGTTTAATTAACGATTAATAGGAAATAATAAGAAAGATCTAATAACAAGAACTAGGCTAGCGGAGCTATAACCCTATAAACTAACCTAATTAACCTATTCCTAATTAACCTTAATTAACGAAAAGTAAGCTAGCTTTATTAAGGCTATTAAAAAATAATGGGGATTAATCGGAAAATAGGAACTATAATAAGCAGGTAAAACAAACGTAGCTCCCGTAAGAAACGAAAGAAATAATCCTATACGATATAACGTAGTCTCCGTCCTTCTCGTTCATAACTATTACCGATCCTTTTTAATTAATCTTAATTTTATAAACTAACGTAATATATCCTATTCAAGGCCCGTTTTTAATTATTCTCGTATAATTCATTTCTAACTATTATTCGTCCGGTAGCATTTACTGGGCTTTCCTTAACCCTCGATCTCTCCCTTATACGTAGTTCTAAGGGTTTTGGCTCTTCCTATTAACTATATATCGGTAAAGGCGACAAGAGAGGTCTCCGGGTATTATCCTATAATTCGTTCCTATCCTATAACTATTTCTAGGCTATCTTATTCAATATCGTTTCAATTCGTATCGTATCGGTATTGCCTGTAGGTCTTCGCGCTGATCAGTAGGTTCCCCGATCAGGTTCGTAGGTATAAGGTCTGTCGGTATCTTATTATGAGGGCATCGTAGCACCTATCGGTTGGAGAGGAGAAACCTCCCTAGGTGCCGTAACTGGCTGGTAGGGATAAAATAAGGGCGATCGGAGCTGGCAAGCCTCTTGCGGTTGAAATAAACTGATTAATAACGAACGGATGCCTTTAAGCGCGTGCGAGGTTGTTATTCTAAAAGGAGGTGGTGGCGGTAACTTAGTCAGATTAACTAAGGGCGAAAAACTGCTATCTAGGCACTGAAAAACGACGGAGGCAAAACTAGACGAAAACGGGCATAGCTCCTTTAAAAGAGACAACTAAGAAACGAGGATAAGGATTCCTGCTAATCGGCGAACGAGCTTTCAGGTAAGCTGATCAAAAGCTAATGGGAGGGCGTGGTTATTGATGGTCGCCATGGTTGTCTGCCCTCCCGTTGATCCTAACCTGACCTAAAAAGCTAAGGCCAAAAGCTACGAAAACGGCTCTGGAGCTACGAAAACAGCTCCTAATCAAACGAGGCTCTGGGGATCTCCTAATCGACGTATCTTAAACCTATTAACTGCAAAAACGGTCGCAAAAGGTCGCTCCTAAGGTGAGGTGAGGACGAGCTACTGGGTGGTCGCCACTGAACAGGAGCTGCGTGGGCACGCTGTGATGGAGGCACGAAAACGGCTACCCAACTGCCAACAGCTGGCCCAGTGCCGATCGAACTAGATCACAGCTGTAAACAGCTGATCAGTTGATCGGCCAGCTAAAAACGGCAGCTGGGAAAGGAGACTAGAAAGGTAGGATGGGAAAGATGAGGCTAGAAAGGCATGGTAAGAAACGAGTGAATGCTGTAGGTCGTAATGCCTACAGGTCTAAGTCTAACTGATGGAAATATAAGTGCGAGACCTATATAAATACACATCCAAAATGCTACGTAGCCTAGATCTACTGCACTACTATACTACGAAAGAAAATACCCTATTTATCGTACAACGCAGATTACTTCGCGGGTTATATAGCGGTACCGATAGCGATCGGTATCCTCTAGATTTTAATAACGTAATGAAAACTTTATAAATTAAAAGGTAAGGGTTCCAAAAGTCGTAAGGTAGTTACTATTGAAAAGGAATAAAGCGTACGTAATATTAAAATCTCGTATAGCTCATTTAAAAGTATACTTTATCAGTAAATATAGTAGATATAATAATTTAAAATAAATAAAATTAATATTTCTTTATTAATTAAAGAGTAAAGAATTTAGTATAATTATCATATCTTAGGTATATCCATTAGTTATAAAGATATAATAATTGCTAGCCCAAAGATAAAAGAAATAAAGTAAGGAAAGGAGCTAAACGTACAGGTTACTTATTCAGTTATTACGGTATAATAAAGTTATTTAAGCGCTTGCAATTAAAACAAATATATTAAGCAGAAAACGATGAATCTAATAATAAAATCGGACATTGAATTAAAGTAAAAATAAAGTTCATAATTTATTAAGTAATAATTATAATATAATCATCACTTACGGGAATTATAGTTACTCTATATAGGTATAAGGCCTATCGTAACTTATTATATAATGTATTAAGAGGGTACGTTTTACCGTATTATTATAATACTAAAATATAAAGTATAGAGGTATTTATACGAGTATGAGGATACCTTTTAAGCAGTAACCATTTTAGTTTACTCTGCTTCTAGCTATATAAACAACCGCCTTCGCTAGGTACTCGCCTTATTCTTTTAAAAAGTAAGTACTTATTTTCGTTACTATAGGAATATACTTATTACTTAGCTTAAAGATTCCATTACATATACCTATTTTTATTAACGTTTATAGAAAGAAATACAAATTTTTAAATAAAAATTAATATATTTTAATTTTTTTAATTAGCTTAATTTCATTTATTAAATAATTATAGTATCTCTATTACTATACAATATCCTTACCTATATTTATAAGCAAGTTTATTTATAGATTTTTAGTTTTATTTATAATTATATATATATTATATTACTTCACCTCTTAAATAAGGTATTATTTTATCTAAGTTCTTAAAATTAATTGTCTTATAATTAAATAAAACTGTTAATTCTATTCGGAGGATAGTTATAATACGTTAAACTCCCTGTTATGCTGATTAATTATGGGGTTAAATACCCCTGTAAATAACCCTGTAAATAACCCTGTAAATAACCCTATAAATAACCCTGTAAAGCGGTATTATTTAAGAGATACTTTATTTTTATTAGCTGAAAGTTTGTATACGCCGTTTTAATTAGTTAAAAGTTCGTACGGCCTATTTAAAAGGGATGCATCTAATAAAATCGCAGCATACGCGTCCATCTATTTACCTACTAACGCGTCCAATCCTATTTTCTACCTATTTCAATCCTATTCATATATAATCGAGGTTAGTTTCTCTTCGTTTAAAAGTCAATTATTAATCTCTTTTCGCAGTTTAATCCAGGTTAGTTTCTCGTTCAATCCAGGTCAGTTTCTCCCTATTCAATTAAGAATCGATTGCTAATCAATCCCTTTTCGCAGTTCAAACGTCGATTCCTACTTACCTCTTTTTCCCTAGCCTTTAAAGAGGTCCTAGGTTTTCGTGCCGAAAACCTAGAGAAGCAGAGAGTGCTTCGACGTATTTTATATTCTTTTATCTTAGAACAAATGCATAGTGTCTACGATTATAATAAATGACAGAATAAAGAAGTAAAGAGCCTAGCGAAGTGCTTCGACCTATATCAACTACTATTTATTTTATAGCATAGTTTCGTTGCTATTAGGTATTCTCTACTCTCACAGCTGCACCACGTTGTTAAGTAGGCGAACCTCCTCGCCGGGTTTGAAGGCCGGCAACCCGATATACGGGCAGCCGTCGCAGCGAAACGCGTCTCCCAGAGAACAGTTCCCACAGGAACCAATCCTACCCTTAACAGTGAAGTCGACTTCGTTCAGATCGCCGGCGCCAAGCTTGAGCGCCTCAAGTCTAATATCTGCTTCATCACGCTTAGACGCGTCTTCAGCAGCAAGTCTCTCTGCAAGGCCACAGGTGCAGTCCTTACAAGCACGTCGTCGTTTGCCAACCTTGGGTATGCACCCAGCAGCTGTCGGATATGTTAGTTATCGCTGGCCATGAATATGAAGCCAAGAACAACATACGAATGACTAGAGGCACGTTTACATCCTCTTCTGTCAATAGAGCATCCTCGTCAATCAGTTCATCATCGTCCCTGACAACTCCGAGAAGGCCGGCAGATTTAATCAAACTAAGGCTGGGGGCCTTTGTGGCCACCGGCCGTAGATTAAGGTTCGTGTTGTTGCCCTTGTCCGGGTGGAAGGTAACGTTCTTTATAGTAGAGCCAACGGTGCACCTTTTTTTATTATTGCCGGTGCCTAGCTTGAGCGGTACAGCAGCAGTGGTCCAGTTGTCGACCTTTTCGAACCCGTCAACGCGAGGTATTAGGCCGGCCAATAGGGCCTCCCGTGCGTCAGGTGTGTTACTGCTTTGAACGAGGGATCCATCTTGAGCTCGGATCTTGCCGCCAGCCTTGAGGGTTGGCACAATCTTCGCAAAGACATGTCGGTCGAGTAAAAGGGTAGATTCGGATCGCGTGCCGTCTGCGTCAGTGAGGACCAAGATCAGGTCGTATGTGGCATGGGGAAGATTGACAAGACCGAGTGCGAGGCGGTCCAGCATCTGTAGGTCTGTCGCGGAACGGTCATAAGCTACCGAGACATGACGCAGGTTCTCCTCGTGGCCAGCAATTGATGGAGGGGCTAGGAGGAGTGTTCGGGGGGCTGAGGGCCCATTCCGAGATGAATTCGACGCATAAAAGTCTAAGTCGGGAGTATTATCGAGTATTACAAGGGAGGGCGACATGGCGAGGGTTGACTGCGCTATTCGTGCCCGGGTATGTAGGTTATAACAACTCCCGTGTCTTCGGTTATCTGTGTGGTTGATGCTTTGTCCCAACCGGTGGTAGCAAATTCAAAGAGTATCGATGAGGTTATATATAGTGGGGTAAAAAAGGCTGGTTTGTAAATTGGATAAACTTTCAAGCATACATTAGTGAATGGCAAAGGCCGTATATGTAGGGCGCTAAGAAACAAGTGGGAAATAACAAGGAAATTATGCATCCTTAACCTTATAAGACTTTTTTTTTAAAGCCGTAAATTAATATAGGTTTTTTATAAGCTAATCGAAGCTTCTTATAATATATTTTAAATTAAGCTTACTATTGCTATTATTATAGCTACTATTACTACTACTTCTTATTTTGCTATAAAATAAGTTTAAAGTAATATTTTATAAAAGTTTAATTAAATGTACTTTAATCTAATAAATAAAAATGCATTTTAAAGAAACTCTCTATACTTTTTATAAAGAATAAAAATATAGTTTAGTGTGCTTATATATTAACCTATATAGTTTAGAGGCTTTAAAAAGTTAAGAATATATACTTATTATTTTATCTTATTCTCTTTTATTTATTAACGCTTTACATATACGATTTTCATTATTTGCTACATAGTATAAAATTATTTTAAATAATGTAAATATATAATTATAATAATTAATGATATATTTAATAATAAATTACAAATACCATATATAACAAGTTAATATTTTACTATGTATATATATAGTTAGAAATATAGAATTTCAACTTATTTAATTATAGTTAAACTTAAGTTAAATATAAATGTCTTAAAAGATATATTTATATATATTAAAGATAAGTACTATAGGTGTTAGAGCTAAATTATATATATATTAGAGATAAGTACTATATATATTAGAGCTACGTAATATATATATTAGTAATAAGTAATATATATATTATTAAAGATTTTATATAGTAAATATAAAAACTTTTCTCATTATTTCTGATAATATCTATATCTTACAAATAATAAAAGAATATAATTTTATTTTTAAAATATAGTTAATTTAACACGGTAGTTATTTTTTAAAAATTTACTTCTTAATATATTAATATATTAATATAATAAACGTTAATATATATATAAAATAAAATAAAAACTACTATGAAAGAATATAAAAAGTTTCTCTTATAATATAAAAGCTTGAATATAAGAAAAAGCGTTACCAAGTACTGAACAGGAGCAGCGTAGGCACGCTGTGATGGAGGCACGAAACGGCTACCCAACTGCCAACAACTGGCCCAGTGCCGATCAACCAAGATCACAGCTGTAAACAGCTGTAATCGGTTGATCGGCCAGCTGAAAACGGCAGCTGGGAAAGGAGACTAGAGAAAGGGTAACGAGGATGGCTAGAAAGGCATGGCAAGAAACGAGTGAATAGCTGTAGGTCCTGATGTCTACAGGTCTAAGTCTAACTGATGAAAATATGAGTGCGCGACCCATATAAATAGACATCGAAAAGGCTACGTGGCCTAGATCCACCGCACCACTACAGTACTTACATAGTAAAGTTACGAGAGGGTTTACGGGTAAGGATAATAATATAAAGCGATATAACGAAAGCCTTAATATATATATAGTATATACGGTAAATATATTTAATTAATGTTACGGAGCAGTTGAAGCAGCCTTATAAGCCTACATACCGTAAAGCGTAAATGTAGGCGTTTACGTTTTATACGATAGTAAGGAGGAGCAGAGCGTACGTGATGCTGGAGACCCGGATAGGTCTACTCGAAGGTATACTCTATCGAAGACTATAATACGTACGATAGTCTAAGATAGATGAAACTAATACCGCTATATTAACCGAAAGGCAAGGAATCTAATGTAGTTATCGTATCTTAGCTATGCCCCTTGGTCGTAGAGATATAGTAGTCGCTAGCCCGAAGGTATAAGAGGTAAGGAGAGAAAAGGGATAAAACGTAAAAGTTACTTATTCGGCTATAGCGGTACGACGAAGTAACTTAAGTGCCTATAACTAAGATAAATATATTAATTAAAGAACGACGAGTCTAATAATAAAAACGAATCTTTAATTAAAGTAAAAATAATAAAGATAATAATCTAACTAAGTATTAAATTAAATTATAAATATAATATAGCCCGTACTTACGGAAGCTATAATTACTTTATATAAGTATAAGGCCTATCGTAACGTATTACGTAATATATTAAGCGGATATATTTTACCGTATTACTATAACTTCTTTAGTTTAATTATATCGTAAGGAATAATTAAATTAAAAATGATAATACGATAAGTCCCGATTAATATCTCCCTTTAAAAATTATCGCGAAACTCTATTCCTCCGGCTATTATTTAATTATTATAGCCGCGCCTTTAACTTATCGTTTAATATTATAAGGAGGCCCCTTTATTACTTTATAATTAACTTAGCTTAGTTTATCTTTACCGATCTAATACGATCGGCGTACTCTTTCTTTATTTCGGCTACCTTCTTCTTAGTTTCGTCCTAGCCCTCCTAGTTAAGGGAATAGTAAGGGAGCGGGCGGGTTCCGAGGATTAATTAGGTATCTTCCTTTTACTTATACGGTATAGAGATCTCCTCGGACTAGAAAGCTTTAATCCTTACTAGGCCGGGGGAAGGAAAGGAACGGGTCGTAACCTTAACGAGGTTATCGTAACGGAGGTTTATATCCGTTAATACGAGAAAGTAAGGGGGATTAGGTACTAAGGCTATAAAAGAACGGCGGACCTTCGCTTACGCGATCGAGCGAACGGAGGATTTACGGCTAAGGGATTCGCCGATCGGCGTATTTTAAACGGATGCTATAACGTTAATAAGGTCGATTCGCTTTTAATAATTTACGGCTTATTAAAAACGCTTAATAATACCTACCCCCTCCTTTAAAATTCGAACGCTATAAAATTACTTTACTACCTCGGCGTATTTTCTTATAGTATTAAGGAAATTAAGCCTCTTATTTTCTTAGTCTTAACGTACGACTTCGATCGATTATTTAAAGATAAGATATAATAAAACGCCGCTTTAAAAACCGTAACTATAGTTATTTTATTAATTTATTAACGCGACGTAATAAGTAAACTAAGAGGTTATACCGGGCTCGAGGCTACCGTCTTCCTAGGCTCGCTATAATTAACCGAGCGTATGCGCCGCCTAATCGAAGGCGCCGTTCCTAACTATATTAAAGCTATATAATCCCCGAAGCTTAGGAAGGTATAGCGCTACGGCGAAATAAGCCTAGGAGAACTTCGAGGAATCGGTAATAACTCGTTTAGGATTTATTAAATCCGTATAAATCGTAAAGATTAAAATAAAAGCGGGGTTATCGAAGAGGTACCGGCGGGTTAAGAAGTTAAACGATTCTACCGATCGATAGCTTATCGTTTAATACGGATTTATTTCGAAGGCCGCCTTCCTATCTTCGAGGTCGTAACTTATTATGATATAAAGGGTACGGATATTTTCATTAATAAGGTAATCGTAACGGGCGATATAAACGAAAGAATTAACTAGAGCTACTTTCGTTTATTCTTATTATTATTAGTTTATAGTTCGGAACCGATTAGCGGATAGCCGGAAGGCCTAGGCTATATCGGATCGTAGCTCGATCTAGCCCCTCCCCGAATCGTAATTATCTAAAATACTAAGCTAATACTTCTTTATATTACTCTAGTTATCTTTACTACTGTAAATCTTCCGTAGGAGTTTAATTAAATCGGCTAGATCGGTACGACGTACGTCTCTATAAATAGAGGAAAGGAAGAAGGAGAAGGGAACGCCGGCGGAACGGGGGAAAGATATCGTAAAAAATAAAAAAAAAGAATTAAAAGAAGAGGGAAAAAGATAATAAGTTAAAAGTAAAAATAAGAATTTAAATTAATAATAAGGAAGGCAGGCTAGAGATTAATAAGAATATAATAATTATAGGGGGGGGGGGGTTTCGAAATAAGATACCTAAAGAGGAAAAACAGAGGGAAGAAGGGAAACGTATCGACGATATAATTAGATATATCTTTACGGCTAACGTTTTAGGAAAGCGCGTTCCCCCGTATACGTATAAAGCTATAATAAGAGATACGTTAGCTTATAACTTCCTATCATATATTCTTAATAAAGTAATAAATACGTACGTTCATAGACTCGTAATTAAACGTAGGTTAGGATAAGTACTATTAAGACTTTCCTAAGTACGGTACTTACGACCTAGGTAACGTATTCGACTCTTTCGTTCTCGTCCGACCTCCCTTCTTATTTTTCGCTATTCTACGGTTCCGATTTATTTCCTTTCTTCCTTTCCTTAGGTCCTTTATCTTCGTTTTAATTCGTTTTTCGATTTTTCTTAATTTTAGATTTATAATTTCGTTATCCCTATCTCTCTCTTTCTTATATATATATATATAATAAACCCTACCTCCTAAAAGAAACTTTTAAAACTAAACCGGGCGTCCGCCCTTAAGCTACTCGAGTAGCTTAGGGCTACGGGAATTACCGACGAAAAGATCGCCGGGGCGTCTAGGAAAGCTAAGAATAATAAGAAAAAAACCGTAACGTATTAACGGGTTAAGTCGATACCGTCGCTAGTAAACTTAATAAATAAATAGCCTAACGAATCCTTTTACCGCTTACCTTTTACCGAGAAGTTCCGGGACGTTAATCGATTAATTCCTAAGCCTTAGTAGGTACCGTATATCCCGTACTCCCGCCTCTTAAACTAAAGCCCGAAAGTAATTATCGGCCGGTAGCTCCGAAGTATCGAAGGAATTCGGATAATAAACTAATAGCGCTAAGTATATAGCTTTTAATATTAATAAGATCTATTAATCGAAAGCTAGATTAATTAATGGTAAGATAATTCGTAACGTTTGGTTTTATTTTCTAGGTAGGCCGGCGGCCGGCCGGTATATTATATAGGAAATCCCGAGTAAGAATTTCTAGGAGGTTACCTACCTCTAGAGCTATGCTATACTCCTTACCCGTTACGTTTAGTCTTTCCGTCGTCGGACGTTATTTATAAAAATTAATAATAAAGGCCCGGTTAACGAATATTTCCGTCGATTAGCGACGGACCTTCGTTACGTCGTTAGTTTATTCGTTTAATAATATAAGATACCTAACGAGGTACCTTACTAGTACTACGAACGTCGGCTCG